AAGAAGTTCTTCCTCATGCTCAGCTGGAGCTTCCTCTGCTTCAGTTTGTGTCCGTTGCCCCTTGTCCTGTCGCTGGGCACCACTGAAAAGAGTCTGGCCCCATCCTCCTGACACCCACCCTGCAGATATTTCTAAGCATTTATAAGGTTCCCTCTCAGCCTTCTCTTCTTCAGGCTAAATAATGAATGTTTTTTCAGGCTAAACAAGCCCAGCTCCCTCAGCCTTTCCTCACATCAAATGCTGTTTTACTGCGATAACGCCGCTTTCGGGGAGTCATTCCGGATTAGGGCTACCACTTCAACACGATTTAGTATGTCAGAGCTTGAAATTCTCCCCGATGGCTTTAAGCGTGGGCGAGTTCAGTTCTGAGTGGACGGAATCTAATTTTTGCTTAGGCACCGCTCCCTGAATCCGCTCCGCGTGCCTGTCCCGGTGGGCCGCGAGGGAGGCGAGGGTATTTTAGGTCCGGTGGGACACGGGCTGTTACGCAGCGCCGGTGCGATACGCTCACGGTGGGGTTTAGTCAGCGCTGTCTCACCTCCAGGTACTCGGTAATCCAAACCAAAACGAAACGCTCCTTCAGAGCGAAATGTGGCGGTGACAGATGCACAGGCTATTATATTTAGTCTCTCGTCTGAGAGGGCCAGATTGACTGTAGGTAGCTGGCTGCACATGGTGGATGGAGATCAGGTGCGATGAAAGGGAGATTACTGGCTATTTTAAGAGTTAAACTTAAAAAGCAGGAAATTGAGAAGTGATAAACAGGTTTTTGTCAGGCGATGTCCAATTAAACGGTGGGACTCATTACCATGGGAGGCCACTGAAGCCAAGTACTTAGCAAGAGTGGAAGAGGGACGGGCCACTTTTATGGATATCAAGAATATCCAGAGTAATGATTAACTATATCAATTTTTGTAATGTAATTAGAATAATTTTTCATGGTTCAGAGCTTAAATCAATTTCTATATGTGAGAGACCAGGATGAGACTCCTGGTAGGAACAGACTGAAGACTTCTGCACACTGCAGAGCTCCTGCCTGGTGTTCTGACACATCTGTTCCAAGGCCAGATGTTGGGTGAGGGTGGACCCTGGATCCACCTTGATCAACTCTGTCATTTTCTGTGTTCCTTGAGGGAAGCTGATGTGACATATGTAGACTGATTTTTTAGGTAAACCAGGGCATGAGGAAAAGGAGGATGAAGTAGACAGCAGACGGGTTTTCTGTAACTTTGAGAGGATAAACATAGAATCATAGAATGGGTTGGGTTGGAAGGGACCTTAAAGATCATCTGGTTCCAACCCCCCTGCCATCAGCAGGGACATCTTCCACCAGCCCAGGCTGCTCAGAGCTCCATCCAACCTGGCCTTGAGCACTG